AAAGTTATCTGAAAACTTAAGCAAGGCATGGACTGTCTACTTTGAGTACTGATTTACCTTAACCAGCATATTTCCATCTATAGATTTTGGTAACCTATTCCCTATCATGGGTGGCCCCGCTACCTTAGCATCAAAGGACATTCTTTGCTGTTAATTGGCTAGAGGCAAACCTAGGGAAACAAAAAGACGATGAGAATCCTTTCCATCACACATTGTCCCTTTTGTACCTTTATTAATTCCACTTCCTGGAATATCACCTTTTCCTCTCTCTGTCCTTTAGTGACATTTTTTTTTTTTTTTTTGAGTTTGGAATCTTGTGGACATTCATCTATCTAGCTGCCAGAAGTTAGGGGTTTCTAGATGTAGGCTGTTTTATTTTATAGGATTTGATCTCCCAGGCAACTCTCTTATATATATTCACAATTCCCCCCATTGCCTAGTTTTAAGGTACTTGCAAATGTAAAACCATTGCTGTAGGATAGGTATTTAGCTTTTACAATTTAAATTTACATTCAGTTTCTTATAATATAAGCAAGTGCTTGCTCCCTGTACCATTATGATCTTGCTCTGTGGTCTAAATTTTTTTTTAATTGTGGTAAAATATATGTAACACAGAATTTACCATCTTAGACATTTTAAAGTGCACAGTTCATGGGGGTTATGTGTAATCACAATGTTGTGCAACCAATCTCAAAAACTTTTTTTTATGTCTATTAACATCTTATTCAGAGGTTTTCCCAAAGGCTTAAGCTGAACATTTCCCTCAGAGGTTACATTTTACCAGAAATTTCCAGTTACAGCTTTGGGGATATTTATCTTTTACATTTTTGTGTGTGTATCTGAACTGTGTTTCCTATTGGATTGTCTTTCTGAAGGTGTCATGTTTGTTGAATTGGGCATAAAGGATGGTAGGAATTTGCATTAGTAGAGAAGGGAGGAGCTGCCCAAAGGAGAGAAACTGCATAAACCTAGGTCTTCAGGACCAAAATAACAAGATACTTTTTCAGGAATGTTATGTAGATTCATTTGCTTATTTTGCTTACATGAATAGAGTGAGAAGGAGATGAAGCTGAGAAAGTAGGAAATGACCCTTGATGCTGAGCTAGTCAAATATGAAGATTATCTGTGCCTCACTTTGGTCAATTGATTATTCTCAGGTAGGAGGGGCTCAGTGGAGAGTTGGAGGGGAGTGCACTTACTCTTACTGAACCTTTCTTTTATTCTCAAATTACCCCAGTAAAGGGCCAGTGTTGTGATAGGATGTAAAGCACATTGAATTCAGGAGACAGTAGACCTGGAAGATTGTCATTTCTGGGCTTTAAGTTACCTTCTTTGTAACATGATGGGGAGGAAAAATGGTCTTAGCCGCCTTCCAGTTCTAATATACTGTGACACCATGGCACACTTTAAGTCTCTGGGTTAGAACCACCACTAAGACCAGTTTCACCCATTTATGAATTGTTAGTTCAGAGGGCAGCAAACTTTTTCTGTAAAGGGTGAGTTAGTAAATATTTTAAGTTTTGTGACTACCGTCTCTGTTGCATTTTATTTGTTGTTTTTTCACAACTTTTTAAAAATGTAAAAGCCATTCTTAGCTCAAAGCCCAGACAAAAACAGGCATGGGCTGGATTTGGTCTCCAGGCTGTAGGTTGACCCTTAATTTAGTTGACTGGGGGCAGTTATTACTTAAGGTTTCTAGAATTTAGAAATCAAGACCAGCTTGGTGATAGTGTTTTCCATCTATTTTTATGGACTCCTTTTACGTTATATTTTCTAAGGGTCAGGAAGGTAGTATGTATTAAGAAGTCTCCATTCTTTTTCTTACAGTCTAAATAATCTTGTGGTTCAGATTATGTCCTTTATTTCTTTTTTTTTCCACCGTGCAGTATTTATTTAAATTGCAAACTTTTCAGCACAGAGGAAGTCACCAGATCTGTCATCGCATGGGGCACAACACAACCTATGTCCTTTATTTCTAAGTGCCTTGAAAACTCTATAATATCTTAAATATTTTACTCATCTTTATCGTCTGTATTCTGATTAACACACATATATTTCCTGTGTTATATCCTTAATGTCTAAGGCTATTTTACTCATATTTACTAGCTATTCTCTGATAAACACACATTGTTCTAGTACTCTTAATGGTTATTAGTATAAATAATGTAATTTATTTGTATCTTATTTTAAACTATGAACAGTTTAATGCGTTTTGGATGCAACATATAAGTTCAAACATCAGACCTGAGAAAGCAACATATTTAACAGTTGTAACTAAACATAGTGATTTAATCTCTGTGCCCATTGCTTGAAAATCATTTCTGGATTAGACTCCCCTATATGTTCTTGCAGGTGTTTATCTCAGATCTTTTTATCATGAGAAGTTAGTGCATTTTTTGATTTTTGATTTGAGTTTTTAGGGAGGTAGAGGGAGAAAAAGAGAGAGAATCTTAAGCAGGCTCCATGTGCAGCGTGGAACCTGATGCGGAGCTTGATCCCACGACCCTGAGATCATGACCTGAGCCAAAATCAAGAATCAGATGCTTAACTGACTGAGCCACCCAGAGGCCCCTAGTTTTTGATTTTTTAACTCCAGTCCCCACTGTCTTGAATTGCCATGCTTATTGCTAAAACAAGTATTTCCTGTGTTATATCCTTTCTTGTTGAATAAAACTTGTTAGTTATATGCCTTGGTTGTTTTTATTTGACTGACCTAATACTTTTTGTTCTTCTGTTTGCTTAATGCTTTGTCTTCATTGTCACATATATTTCTTCGTGTTTCACTTATATTTTTCTACAATTTCTTAGTTGAAGTTTTAGAGACTTTAGCCATTTTTATAGTTGTGAAAAACCTTTAATCCTTTAAGTAAATGCTCAAAATTCATAAAATTTTTAAGGATGCATATAATCTTATAAACACCTTCATATAATTCAGAATACATGAATTCAAAACACCAGATACATGTTTATGTTGTAGATGATACATGTTCAGTAGTAGAAATTTTAAGCTTATTTTCAGAAAGATTGGGTCACCAAATAATCACTAATGTAAATAGTTCTTAAAAGTAATTGTGACCTACCTGTTATTTGCGAATGTAAAGATTATTAAAAAACTGTGTGGTTTGTAGATTGTCGGTGCTTTTACTGGCTACAGTGACCACTTGAAAGCAGATCTAGCTGAACCGTCGGGAAACAGAACCAGTGCAAAAGCAAACCTCTGCTATGTAGGATGCTGTTTGTACATGGAGGCATGCAATAAATACTGAAAGAATAAATTAATAAAACCTCAGACTCATTCTAGGATCAAGCTCTGGTTCTCAATAAAATACTATTAAACATAAAGTTTCTTTAAGTCTCTTTGCAGTCAATTCTTTCACATGACCTTCAGCTCCTGTAAGAACTGATCTGCCTTCTGTCACTATAGATTATACGTATACAGAAAAATTGAGCAGACAGTACATAGAGTTCCCATATATGCCCCTCACACAGTTTCCCCTATAAGTCCTTAAGCATTTTTGATACTTAATTTTAATTATTTCTTATTCTGATTTATTAACTAATCATTTGGACATTTAGTTTATTATTTCCATTTCTTTGCCGTCATAAATGGGCTATGATCAAGGTCTTTGGATTTTTTTTTAGGACAGATTCTGGAAGAGTAGTTACTAGGTCAGAGGGTTTGAACTTTTTACGGCTCTTGTGTATTGCTTTCCAAAGAGTTTACCAATTTATACTACCATGAGCAGTGTGCAAAGATGCCCATTATATTGCATTATTCTATTATTGTAATATTTATTATATTACATTGTCATTTGTAGCTGTCAGTATAATTTAGAATATGCTGTAGTAACAAAGACTCCCCCAAATCTCATGGTTTAATGCAACAAATTTTATTTTTTACAACAAAGCTCATGTTAATGTCAAACACATATCAGCAGGTGGTAGTCTCTCTTTGGAGTTATTTAGTGTATCAGCCTGATCAAAGCTGCTTTGGTTACTTGTTTCCATAATTACTGTAGTGGGTAGGTCTTCCAGTTGTGTACTGGTTCCTAAAGCTTATTCCTGCTGATGTTTCATATCACGTTTACGTATATCTTAGTGACTAAAGCAAGTCATGTAGCCACACCTAAGTTGAAACAAGGGCAGTGAAGTGCAATCCTGTGAGTCTGGGAAGGAGAACTGGGACAGCACTAATGACTAGCATCTTACTTAAAAAACAACTCTAATTTCACTGATAGAAGATGATATCTTAATTTAATTAGATTTTCTTTGCCAATGTAGATAAACATTTTCATAGTTTTTTAGCCAGTTTTATTTAACCTTTCCTTTTACTTAAGCTTTATAAACATATACTGTTGTTTTACTTTTATATTTCCAGATTTTTGAATTCTGGTTTTGTTTTTTTTGTTTGTTTGTTTGTTTTTGGTGAGGATGGGCAGTCATGATGGTGGGATTATTATAGGGAGTACAGACTTTTAGAAAATGCCTTTCTTTTGAAGACTTGAACTGGTGAAAGAAAAGTATCTTTCTTGGATTGATCTTCCCCTCATTCTCCCACCCCCATTAGTACAGTATATGTTTTGTTAAATTTAATTAAAGGCAATAGAGGGACACCTGGGTGGCTCAGTTGGTTAAGCATCTGCCTTCTGCTCAGGTCATGATCCTTGGGTCCTGGGATCGAGTCCCACATCAGGCTTCTTGCTTGGCGGGGAGCCTGCTTCTCCCTCTGCCTGCTGCTTCCCATGCTTGTGCTCTCTCTCTCTCTGACAAATAAATAAAATCTTAAAAAAAAAAAAGGCAATAGAGAGTCTGGCAGAATTAAGATTCTTGACATTCTACAGATCTGTAAAACACAACTTGAACACAAAAGTTTAGTGAGTAAATGATCAAGTTAGGGTTCTACTGAAAAAATTAAGTTCCCTATTCAGATTTAGTTATATTGACCATGTCTTCTTCTTCTTTTTCTTCTTCTTCTTCTTTTTTTTTTTTTTTAAATTCAGGTATCTGCCTGAACTGGAACTTATGCTGTAAACATTTCTTTGTGGATTCATCTAAAAACCTGAGGTGAGATATTTTTTGAATTCTTTTGCCTTATAAAATATATTTTATAATGAGAAAGAATTATTTTTGAAAAATTTAAGGCAGTGCCAACTGTCTTTTCCTCTGAGACTTTAATAGGTAAATATTATTTATTATAAAGCTACGTATATAGCATGCTTACTTATAGTTTGTAGGACATTTGATTGAATGAAATGAAGCGGGTTCTAGTGATTATAGTAGTTTTGAGTGAATTTTTCCATTGTAATTCCAAAGGAATTTTTCTTTTATACTCAAAGATAGAGTTCACACTGCTATTCTGACACATGTTTGAGAATGATACTGACATTCTAATCTGATATTCCTGAAGACAGATCCTTAACTTGTTAAGTCATTGATTTCAACAACTGGTAACTATTTTAGTAAGTCAGTTATTAGGAGTTTTCTTCACTCTATTCTCCTGGACTTGATTATTTTCTGTAGTTACCTCTGTTTGGGGGGCTTATAAAATAAGAACATAACCTTTAGTATGTTAGTAGTTGGTTTTTATAGAAAGAAAGTTTCCATAATAGCATTTTACTCTAAAGATAGGCTCATAGCCCTTTCTCTTTTCTGACATGTCTGGGCTCCAATTCTCTTCATCTTTTAATTTTTTAAGCAACCAGTCTGTCATCTGGTCTTTCCAGCTACTCACTAAGCCATTCTTGTCACAGTCATGAGATTGCTTTTCTAAAAGATGAATGTTGTCATGTCAGTCCGAAACTCAGAATCCTTCAGTACCTTTACATTGCTTAAAGGATATTTTACAAACTCCTTTACAGAGCAGTAGAATCTCTTTACCCAGTTTTCCATCTCACTAGTGCTCTAGGAATGTTATGAACTAACATTTTTTAAAAAACAGCTTTATTGAGAAATACTTTACATACCTTAAAATTTACCCATTTATTTAAAGTGTACAATTCAATGTTTTTTTTAATTGTAGTTATGGAGTTGTACAGCTGTCACCACAATCTAATTTTAGAATATTTTCATCACTGCAGGGGTGCCTGGGTGGCTCAGTCAGTTGGGCATCCAGCTCTTGATCTCCGCTCGGGTCTTGATCTCAGGTTGTTGGGTTCAGGCCCCGTGTTGGGATCTGTGCTGGGTGTGGAGCTTACTTAAAAAAAAAAAAAAAATAGAATAGTTTCATCACTCCAAAGAGATATTGGCATGTCTTAGCAGTTACCACTCATTCCTCCCTCCACTCAGTTCCTGTCAGGTACTAATCTACTTTCTGTCTCTGTAGATCTGCCTATTCTGGATATTTCATATAAATGAAATTGTACAATATGCAGTCTTTTGTGACTCATTTTTTCTACTTAGCATAAAGTTTTCAAGGTTTATCCATGTTTTTGCATGATCAGTACTTCATTCCTTTTCATGAGTGAATAACATTCCATTTTGAGTGTCAGGTCAGGTGACCTGGCGATAGAGAGACCTGAACCTCCAGGTGTCAGTGTAGCTAATTAAAAACAGTGATCCAGCATAAAAGTAATAGTTGAGCCTTTATTCACTTACTAAGATAGTATAAGCAAGAGGTTAAACCTCAAAAAGTGCAGTTGTCACACTCAGGTGGATCAGTACAGAGGTGGGAGGTGGATCGTTTCACTGCAGTTTTATGGACCTAGGGCTGGTTCAAGAGTGAGGTGGAAGGGCTTGGGATCGAAAAGCACGGAGTCAGAGTAGAGAAAAAGTGTCTTCAGTGTTTGCTCCCTGATGAGAGGGCCTCAGCAGAGGTGCATGAAGAAAGGCTTCAGCTCAAGGCCACAGGTAGACAGACTTCTGAATGAGGTTTAGGGCCTGGGCCAGGAATGTAGCCATGCTTAAGAACATGCTCAGCCAGGGGGCCTGAGTTCCTGACTACAGCTGTCTTCAGAGACTGCAGTGCACTGGCTGTGTGCCCAGTCTGAGGTGGGTAGGACAGCTTTCCCATGTGAGGCCTGCCAGGTAAAGTCTTTGTAATTGCTTACAGTCAGGCTGGAAAATTACACACAGAGATTTTAAGTTTTTGGTCAGGAGCCAGACTCCTCAACACACACACACACACACACACCCACACCCATATTTTGCTTATCCATTCATCAATTGGTGGACATTTGGGTTGTTTCTGCATTCCTCCCTCCCCTCCCCCCACACACATTTTGGCTATTCTAAGCTTTTTGCTATGAACTTGTGTGTGTAAGTTTTTGTGTGCATATGGTTTCATGTCTTTTAGGTGTATACCTAAAAGTGTAATTTGCTGGGTCATTTGGTAACTCCATGTTTAACAATTTGTGGAACTGCCAAATGGTTTTCCAAAGAGACCGTATCATTTTACATTTCTACCAGCAATGTGTGGGGATTCCAGGTTTTCCATATCCTCACCTACATTTGTTACTATCTTTTTTTTTTAAGTTATAGCCATTCTAGTGAATGGGAAGTTGTATCTCACTGTGGTTTTGGTATCTATTTCCCTAATGAGTAATGATGTTGAATATCTTTTCATGTGCTTATTGGCCATTTATATATCTTTTTTGGAGAAATGTCTATTTGAATCCTTTGCCCATTTAAAAATTATGTTACTTACCCTTTTATTGTAAGAGTTTTTTAGATATCCTGGATACAAGTCACTTAAAAAATACATGATTTACAAATATTTTCTCCCAATCTGTGAGTTGTGTTTTTACTTTCCTAATATTGTCTTTTGAAGCACAAATTGTTTTTAATTTTATCTATTTTTCTTTTGTTGTTTGTGCTTTGGGTGTTATATCTAAGAAACCATTGCCTGATTCAAGTTCATGAAGATTTACTCATATTTTCTTCTAAATATGAGCTCTTAAATTTAGGTCTGTGATTCATCTTGAGTTAACTTTTTTGGGGGGGGGTGGAGGGAGAGGGAGAGAGAGAGAATCCCAAGCAGACTCCATGCCCAGCGTGAAGCCTGATGTAGGGCTCAGTCTCCTGACCTGATACCAAGACCTGAGCTGAAATCGAGTCAGATGCTTAACCAACTGGGTCACCCAGGTGCCCCCTTTTTGAGTTAATTTTTGTGTATTTTTCTAGGTAGAGGTTCAGCTTCATGCTTTTGCATTCAGATATCCAGTTGTCACAGACCATTGAATTATCTTGGCACCCTTGAAGAATATCAGTTGACTGTAAATGTAAGGTTTTGTTTGTGGACTTTCAATTCTATTCCAATAATTTATACATCTCTCCTTATGCCAGGAAGTTTTGAAATCATAAAATGTGAGTTCTCCAACTTTGTGCTTCCTATTGAGGATTGTTTTGGCTCTTCCCGGATCCCTTGCATTTCCATATGAATTTTAGGATCAGCTTGTCAGTTTCTACCAAGAAAATCCAGCTGGAATTTTGATGGGAATTATGTTGAATTTGTATTATGAATCTGTAAATCAGGTTGGAGATTTTATAATAGTATGTTCTCCAATCTGTGAACATGGAGGTCTTTCCATTTATTTATATGTTCTTTAATTTCTTTCAATGATGTTTTATAGTTTTTAGTGTATGTCTCCTACTTTTGCTAAATTTGTTCTTAAGCCCTTTATTTTTTGGATACTATTGTAAATGAAATTGTTTTCTTTCATTTTTGGATTGTTCATTGCTAGTGTATGGAAATATAATTGATTTTTGTATCATGCAAACTCACGGAACTATTAGTTCAATTAGTAGTTCTAAGTTGTTAATATATTAGTGAGAATTTTTTATATATAAAATTATGTCATCTATAAATAGTGATAGTTTTATTTCATCCTTTCCAATCTGGATGCCTTTTATGTCTTTTTCTTACCTAAGCATCCTAGCTAAAATCTTCATTACAATGTTAAATAGAAGTAATGCGAATAGACATCCTTGTCTTGTTCCTGATCTTAGGGGGAAAGCTCTCAGTCTTTCAGCATTACCTGAGGGTTTTTTTATAACTGTCCTTTGTCAGGTTGAGATAGTTTCCTTTTATTCCTAGTTTGTTGACTGTTTTTGCCATGAAGGAGTTAACATTTATTGAGACTTCTATGTATGCCAGGCCCTATGCTCAGTGCTTTATATATAGTATCTAATTTTCATTATAGTCCTGTGAGATAGAGACTGTTAATTTTATCTTCATTCAGCTGGTAAGTGGTAGAATCAGATTACTGTTTTCAAAACTTGTGTGCTCAACCATTATCCATTAAATTCCCTGTACAAACTATGTTGATTTATACATGTGCCTTTGTCCATGTTGGTTTCCTCCTCCTTAAAATGCATGCTCCCTCTCTTTCCCCATTACAAACCTACCATAGTACTTTGTACCTGTCACTATCATAGTACTTTTTCCCTGTGTTGTGATTGTTTGCATGTATTTCTCTCATTTTAGAATCTGTGCTTGAAGTCGGGGACTTTGTCATATTTATTTTTGAATTTCCAGTACATAGTAGAGAGACAGGAAAGAGATAAGTCACAGGAGCCAAGGGATTAGAGTTTCAGAAGGGTGGAAGCAGTCAGCAGTGTCAGGTACTGCAGAGAGATGAAGTAAAATAAGGGTCACAAAATGCCTATAGGTTTCATCTTTTAGTGATTTCAGCAAGAGTATTTTTTTTTTTTAGTAGCAGTGGGGACTGAAGCAAGATTGTGGTAGTTTGAGCAGTGAATGGGAGATGAAGAGACTGCCTCAAGTAGAGACTGTCCCCACTGTTGTGAAAGTTTAACTGAGAAGGGGAAGAATGAGTTTAGGGTCCTACACAGAAGGGAATGTAAGGTATTTTTTTTAAAAGGGGAGGGGCTTGAACATGCATATATACAGAGGTGGTAGTAGAAAGGACAAGTTAAGAGCAAGCTTGTGGAAGTAGAGAGAGGACTAATAGAGGGAATAGACTTTCGTGTAGAGACAGGAGATTGCCTAGGAACACAAGATTGTCCTGGAGTGGCCTCTTTCTTCTGAGGGAAGGAAGTACCCATGGATGTAGTCAGAGGTAAATATGTGGCCGTGAATTAGAAAATATAGGGAGTTCCCTCACTTC